AATTGAACACTTCTTTTTTTTTTTCCCCTTCTTTTCCTCTGGTGGATAAAATTAAGTATAGTGGAAAGAAATTGACAATAAATATAAATGAATATATTAGGAGAGAAAATATAATAAATATTTGTCAATTTTTTTTAGCACGATTAAGTGTAAAATAACCCCTTTTTCTTACTTACACTCATTTTTCATTTAATAAATGGATAACTTTATTTCACATACATAAAATACGGTTGAGAGGGAGAGTCAAACATCTGAACTTGGTGAAGATTATTCATTCCTTAACTAATTGAGTTGTGTGCAAATTGAATTTCAACTTTTGTTTTACTTTTGAAACGTTCATTTTGATATATGTACTTTAAAAAAATAACAATACTTAAGTTCTCTTTTTAGGGTGGAAATCATGGGAGGGAAATGAGAATGCACATAGAAATTTTGTTTTATTTTTTCTAACAACCAAACATCTGTCATAAAATCTAGTGGTCAAAGACAGTAAATTTTAGTACCATGTTCTAAAAGATACCATCTCGAAGGATGGATTAATTTGATGGCTCAATTTAAAGTATTCAATCAACAACAATGGCAAGAACGTCAATTTTTTATTTTAATTTTTAGTACAACTATTAGAACTTGGGTCAATTTTTTTATTTTTAATATAGCTATTGGAATTTGGTCAATTAAGTTGGGACTTGAGAAATTTATTTATAACCTTTTTAAGAGTGTTACTTTTGAACTCATATAGGATCACAACTAAACTCAAACATTTAGGATTAAAATGTATAATTTGCTTTAAACATTAATAAGCGTACATGTTTCAATTATATATTGATAAATTCAATTGTCTAAGCTGTTCTTATTGGCCATATAATTAGTATTATTTATTAGATCTAATGCAATCTCATTTATATAATCCATTAGTAATATGTTTAAACATAATTTAGAGATGTGATTTTTTTTCTTTTTTAAATTTGTTTGTTAAAGTACAGGTTTTATTAATTTATGGAATTGTGCTGGTTTAGAGTAGGTCTTTGAATTTTTTAAGTTATTCTTATTTTGTTTAGTGGAAAAGTTTTTAACGGTATTGTGGTACATATTTTGAGTAGATTCAATTGTTTGTTGGTTAACATCAGATTAAATTGAAATTTTAGGATAAGCCATTAAGTATGAATTTTTAAAGTAGAATGACTAGTAGGCACAAGGAATAACATCATTTTAAAAGTACCTATACATAATTAATAACAAATACTTATTAGACAAAAGAATAAAATTTAAAATAATTAATGCATTTAAAAAATAAGAATTAACTAAACAAAAATTCAAAAATTAAACTATTCAATTAGTTTATTGGGTAATACATGGGAGTGAGAATTCGAATTCATGGTTGGATATAATTGTCTTAACCAATTAAATTAAGCTCCGATTGACATATCTTATATATATTATTAGGTATGTATATTGTATACTGATTTATTATGCCAAATTGTTAAAAAAAATTGGTTTAGATATTATTATTATTTTTTGAAAAAAGGTATTTATATTTGTTCTTAGTCATGTGTTTGAATCTCCCCCGCCATTATTAAAAAAAACTTTTAATTAAATTATATAGTTTTACTATATTTATTGGCAATGAAATGTTACAAATTCAGGTTTTTAAGCTTATTAGTTGTACTATTAAGAAAATAAATAAGGCTGGTTAGCTTTGGAAAAGAAAGTTGAAAATACTTAATTTTTCTAACTGGAAGCCTGGAGAGAGGGTCAGTCCTTTACGTTCATTCAATATGATTTTAGATAAGGGTACTAAATTTAATTAGATATGTCAGAAAGTGTATTTACGAAAGAACCCCCGAAAGAAAAGGAAGGATCAGCAGCACCTCTACAAAAATGGATCGAAAAAACAAAAGCAAGGAGGCATTCCGAGAGTCGAACTCGAGACCTCTCGCACCCAAAGCTAGAATCATACCACTAGACCAAATGCGCTGTGTTAAACAAATTCATATTACAGTATAATCTAAAATATTTGTATAGAAAATATGCCACGTGGTATTCAGCTGTTTTTTTAATGACATGGAATTTAATTGTTTGAAGCAGACTGCAGAAGAGAACGGTCGAATGAAGTATTTGAACTTTGGAATTTGGAGAATGGGTTTGTATTAACGGTTACTTTAAATTTGAAATTTGAACTAATATAGGTTATTGGGTGGTTGCCAAAATGATGAGAGTTGCCTTAGTTATCAGCAGTTACTGCTATAAATTTTATTTTTATTTATAGTTTCAGAATGAAAAAAAATTTATACAATTTATAAATAATACAGTTTATGGCTCTTCTATGCGTTACTCTTGGTTTTCTTATCAATAAAATTAATCAGATCATTAATTTTTATTTTTTTATTTTTTGAAAGTAATTAATCAGATCATTATTGAATAATAACATACATTCAATTTCATAGAATTTAAAATGGAAGAATTTTCAGTCAACTTTATTGTTTTCAGTTGATTCGATTGGATTGGTTACAAGATTGGACTTAGCTTACCTCTTAACATATATTTGCTTTTTTTTAAGATATATTTGCATATTGAGTGATTTAAAATTATTTAGCATCAACAATATATTAAAATTTTAGATCTATGAATATAATAAAATATTAATCTATATTTTTAAATATAAATTTATGTATTTCTCATAAAATAAAAAGAATTTATGTTTTGTTTGTGAATTTGTAATTTGTAAAAAAAGAAAAAAAAGTTTTCAAAAGTCTAAGACTATCTTTGTATAGGATAAAAAGCTATATATTTGAACAAAAGACACATACTTTGTTTACAGTTTTGTTTTTAGTTTCCCATTCTTAAAAATTATGGTTGTACCCTAACAATTTCATTGTATGATTTTTACTTTTCTTAAAAACTCATTTGATTTTTTTACCACATTAAAAGGAAAGAAATTTTACTGTATGGTTTAAAAAATTTCGACTTAGATTTTGATTTATTTTTAATACGCAACAAAACACATATGTGAAAGTAATATTTCTAGCTTTAATTGAAAAATAAAAATAAAAAAACGAAATCGTTGTGAAATGGACTTGAAAGAGTGTCCCTCCACAATTCTGAATATCAAAACCGTCAAAGTGAACATACATCTCCAATCAAGAGGTTGTGAGTTCGATCTCCCACCTCTACATGTTGTATTAAAAAAAAGGTCAAAACTGATCATCTGTTAAAATGGCTAGCAAGCAATAAAATGAGATATATTATTGAAAGTCTGACTAATGCGGCAGCCATCTAAAAAGGGAAGAACTTAGCAAGGAATTCAAAGTTCTTAATAATAAAGTTATTCAATAAAAAATTTCCTTACTCTTTCAGCCAAGGCAGTCAACTCAGTAGTACGCAAGAATGCCTTTATCACACTGACTACTTAGCTTGTAGAACAAACAAATCAAGTACCGAAAATAAATTCAACTCTACATATTCAACCTATAAGTCAAATGTTCATTTAAGTTGTAGTGTAAGTAGGAGACTAATGCACCATCATGATAATAATGTGGAAGAAGTCAAGACATTCCCTCTTTTTTCACGAGGTCGGATGTTCAAATGTCCACTCTAGACTAAAAAAGACTGATCCAAAGAATGCTCCTACATTGGCTAAAGAAAACATCTCTATTGATATAAGACTTTTTGGATGAAACAAAAAATATAGCTACGACAATCTTAGGCCTAAAATGGAGAATCTCATGCCAGGATAGAAAAAAGGAGATTCCATGACATTCTATTGATTGGTTTTTTCACACGGTTTACTTCCACCCATTAAAACATTTTAGTGAGAACCATTCGTGTGATAAATACTATAGAAGTATAGACAAAAAATACGGCACATCAAAAAGTTTAGTAACTAGTACGAAATCTTATCAACCCTACTTACCTTGAAGGACAAACAAACTCAAGTATCGAAAATAAATTCAACTCTACAAATTCAACCTATAAGTCAAATGTTCATTTAAGTTGTATAGTAAGTATGAGACTAATCCACCATCATGATAATAATTTGGAAGAAGTTGAGACATTTACTCTTTTTTTCCACAAGTCAGATGTTGAGATCTCCACCCTAGACTTGTACTAAAAAAAAGACCGATCCAAAAAATGCTCCTATATTGACTAAAGAAAACACGTCTATTAACTTCCTATACTAACCAGCTTTTCGACACAATGTACTACCACTGACAAAAAATTTTTAGTGAGAACTACTAATATGATAAATACTACAAACGTATAGATAAAAATACGACACATCAGAAAGTTAAAAGCACACTACTTAGCTAGTAATTACTAGCTAGTAATTACTAGCTAGCAAGTAGGGAAGTATTATTCTAGTAATTCCAACAATTTAAAACCCCTTGAAGGTTGGAATCCCAACAAGGGACAATGGGGAGAAAAAGAGCCGAAAATGAAATTGGGATAACGAAGCAAAAATGGGAAAGAAGAGGGGGAGAAGGCGAAGGAATATCGACCAGTGAGTGGAGGTTATGCATGGAGGGAGGAGACACGTTTAAAAGTCACAGCAGTG